AACAAGAATGGAAATTGCAAAAATTAAAGTACGGGAATTTAAATAATAGGAATTTGAATAACAATAAAGTAAAGTGCAAGAGAATAATTTACAATAAAGTAATTGACATAAAATTAAAAAAGGAAATTTAGGGGTTGTTTATCAAACGCTTACTCGGGTAAGTGAACACCAAGCCACATTATCTTACAAGATGAATATGGTAAAGACCAAGAATCTTATCCGGTAAGAACGAGACAATGACCAAGAGTCTTACCCGGTAAATAAGGACGATGACTCTTACCATGATAAGAGCTTATCGGATAAATTATTGCACACGATACCGTTTTAGTAAACTAAAATCTTACCCTGTAAGTAAATGGTTGTGTTCCTCATAAATCCTACAACACCACAAAAATCTTATAACATTGCTACAGTACTTGCCCAAAAGCTTCAAAATCTGCATAAAGTTCAATTTAACCTAAAATTATAAAATTCTAATAATTCATAACAAACACTAAAAATGATAAAAAATGAACTAAAGAGACTTCCTAATTTACCCAGTGATTTAATATAATTTGTGGTTTATCCTAAATCTCATGGATTTCACATATTGCATGTTCTCAAAAGAAAAGGGAAAGGTTTATTTGAGAAGTAAAGAAGTGATCATATCCCTTCATCTGATCAATATTTGCCGTTTTGACCGTGAAACAAAGGATAATTTCTTACATGGGTGTGCGGAAGATGGAGGGGTAGTTCCATAACTTTTACAAATAGGCGGCAAACGAGTTCATATGTAAACCCATGCGATTTACATATAACTATATGTTCATATGTGAATGAGTTAAAATAGTTCATACGTGAATTAGTTCATATGTGAATGAGTTAAAATAGTTCATATGTGAATTAAACGGGTTCACATATGAACATATAATTCATAAGTGAATCACAGAGGTTCATATATGAATCCGTTTGTCACCTATTTGTAAAAGTTACCAAACTAACCCCCTCTAGCTCATACGTGGTGTTCGGTGCTGCACATGCAAATTTGATTCTCCTTTTGGTTCAATACACCAGTCAGAAACAAGGTGTAATGACAGGTTTGTGACAAACAGAGATATGGGTTTGATCCACAAAGGGAAACATGCGCTTTTAACATGTGTTTGTGATAAGTGATCATGCTTCTTCCGAGTTCCAACAAAATTTAAAGTTTTCATTAATTGTTTTAGATTTAGGTTTAATCTATTGTATTCGAAATAGGTTTTAGGTCTGTCTATGACAAAGAAGATGGTGGTGGTGGTGAAGATGAAGAAAAATAACAAACATACCGTTTTGTCTCTGAGTTTAACGGATTCCATTGATAATCATTTGATCAAAGGAGCGAAACCGTGAAAAAATCACATACCTTCAAATATTCTACGTAATAGATGAAGTGTAAGAAACAATTCCATAAAAACCTATATACCGCAGGGACCAAATCTGTAACTTATTTTTGATATATAAATGGGTCAGAAGGCCTAACCCATTTTTTCTTTTTGCATCATACATATCTAGGCATGACAATAGGGTGGGGATGTGGCGGGTTTTCTAATCCCCGACCCCCGTCCTAGCCTCGGTTTCTATTAACGACCCCTGGCCTCGGCCCCGGTCTCTGGCGAGTACGGGATTAACATCTCGTCCTCGGTTTATTTTCTGGTCAAAACTGGTCAAACCTTGATCTTCGTCCCTTGTCAAGACCCAATCGTGGATCTGAAAGTGGAATGATTGGTGTAGAGACATGGGCGTTGGTCATCGATGGAAGGTGAGGCCAATGTGGACTGTGGCCATTGGCGGAAGGTGAGACGCCTCCGATGGAAGGTATAGCTAAAATATGGTGGTCTCTTGTTGTCGTCTGGTGGTGGTAATGTGAAGAAGTGAAGACGCCGATGTCAATTAGAATTTTGTAAAAACCTAATTTTAGAAAATACATAAATAATGTATATACTATATAATTAATATTATAAATTAATTATTTTAGATATCAGGTACGAGACGGGTTTGGGATACGCTACCCGGCCCCGGCCCCAACCCCGGTTTGAGCTTACCAGGGATCCCTAGCCTCGGAACCGGGACCCGGTTTAACAGAGAATCTCAGGCCTCGTTTGGGTTAGGTGAACAAGTTCCACACCGGGTTGGGGAAAATCACCATCCTTATAAATATCCATTCATTAATTTTAACGAACTAATCTGAACCGTCCATTTTTTAACTAGTAGGATTGTTATCTTTAACGGAGATTGATTTGTACCTCTTTTAATGTCAAAATCGATCGATTCATGTGTTGAGAATGTAAAGAAAAGTAAGGGGTTGTTTGTTTACCTTTTAATAGTCCATTAAGAGGCAACCTCTAAATCGTTAAGAGGTGAATCTTGTTTGGTAAAAAAAAAAAAGTCTGTCTCTTAATGGTTCTAAAACCCTCTGAATGATGTTGTATCCTGGGCCTCCCTTAACCATTAAGAGCCCTAATTTCATTGTAAACAATTACCAAACAATTATATTTAATTTTGTACTATATCATGAGAACCTCTTAATCGTTCTCATCACTTAATCATTCTGCACCAAAACATTCAGTACCAAACCATTCGGCCCATAAGTTTTAAGATAGATGTAAATACTAAATACTATATACATCTACATATAATAATGTACTAGTTGTGTACCCGCTCAATGCGGCGGGAGCCATGAATTTTAACGATTTTGAAGTTCCACTGATTTTATAAGATAAGATTTAGCGATGATATATGTTACACTTGGTCTTTACATATTAATACAATTTGAATAAATAAGAGTTATGGTTCCAATTACAGACTA